CAGCATGATAGAATAACTGAGTTCATAGACAGTATTTCAAAATAATAAAAAGAATATTGTCTACAGCAAGTGTCACTCTTCCAGGAACCTAACAACCATTTAAATACATTTTAGTGTTAGTTTAGCATATTTGTGAATTGAACCTGTGATGTACTTAATGTCTCATTAAAGGTAGAATGGTCTTGGGCAAAAGAAAGATTCATCTTTGCTTCAAAAATGTTGCCAGCCTAAGCCAGGTCAGGCTGCACAGTGGGGGAGTGCTGTGGCGGTAATTACGCCCAGGACTGGGTAATCCAGAGCCTAGATTCTGGGCCAGGTATCCTTAACTTCCTAAGTAATATCGATTTGGAGTCACTTGGCATCTCAAAGCCTGGATTTGCTCACCTACAAAGCAAAAGTGTTAGAATTCTAGAATCCTAAATTTATCATGGAGCCTAGGGGTCATCTACTCTGACAATAAAAATATTGGTTGAGTACTTAGAAAAATTATGAAGTTTTATAATTTCCCTAATTATATCTGTCAAGTTTGGGTTAATATTTCCATTGCTTTACAATAATGTAAAATACACATTTCAGTGCTGACCTGTTCTCTTACCATACGGGACTTCTGACCCCTCAAAGAAGAAGATGTACAGAATCTTTATCAAAGAAAAAAAATCTTGAGTGATATTTTAGGAGTTCTCTTGTAATTACTGAAAAGAAAAACAAAACAATGGCACACACATTCAAAATGTGTATGTTCTTCCAAACAAATTTCTTCCTTTATTTAAGAGAGATGACCAATTAGAAGAGGAAATGGGGTAACTTCAATTAGAGAAATCCAAAACAGAACAAATACAATGAATGGACCTTGTTTGGACCCAAACTGCAAAAGAGATCTTTTAAGGACAATCAGGCATCATATGGTCATTAGTTCAAGGTACATTTTTATATTAGCCTAAGTGAAATATCACTTACTGAATTTCAAAGATCATTCAAACCAACTTAAAAATGCCCAATAGTTTGGTATTTTCTCGTCACTACTCTAAACTTTCATCTTTGCTCAAGTTCCTCAATGTGAATATTTGACTAGTATAATTCTAAGGAGCAAGAGTGAGGGGGTGAGGGATGAAGGGGAGGGAAAGAAAGGCAGGCAGGGCAGGCCAATACAAGGATATGTGTTTGCATTGTACAACAGAAGCAACCAATAGAAGCAACCAGTGACTTCATCCTCCAGGACCATCTGAACATTCACACAAAATGTGTTTCAGAGCCATCTTTTCAAAAGGAGAACAGGGGAAGAATCTATTCTTTGGCTCCCATCTTCCACTGGTCATAGGTTGACCCTGTGGGGCATTATTAAGACTGCACTTCCAGTTCCACCATGAGTAGGCACTGGGCAGTTTCTCCCGATGCTCTGGGGCAGGAGGGAGAGATACAGACTGTCCCTGTTGAGTTGCACCCATGTGAACTGATAAAGCCCACATGGGTGAATCTGATGCATAAGACATTGGAAATGCATAGATATTGAGAATCAATATTTACATTTAAAAATGACTGATCCTTAGATGTACCAAGGCACAAAAATGGATAACTGAGGCTTATAAAAAACAAACAACACCTTTCACCTAAGATCAGAGCTGAAAAAAAAATGCTTTTGGAAACATGACATCTAATTTCTTAATTTTACCTTGGGTATATAGTTGTAGTAAAATTATACATGATTTAATATTATACTACTATATAAAATATTGTTCTAATGTACTA